ATACATACATACATACATACATACATACATACATACATACATACAACATTCGGCAAATTATAGTAAGATGATACATCTTATACCTCTGCAATGCATTCTGTGCTTCGGACGGTTCCCAGCCTAGGCTATCGTAGAGCGGGGACAACAGCTGCACTCCGTACCGCTGAAAAACAAACGACACATCACGCGTCAAACATAATACCGGCGTTTAGCACTAACTACACTCGGACTAAATCCATCCCTCGGCATATATTTCTCGCCGCGTCCCACATCTCGATATTTGACGTGACCCACTATTTCCGGCAGACTCCGTTCTGACAGCGACAGCAGACGCGTGGAGATGATATCACATCTTGCATTTTCTATCCCTAAAATTCCCCCGTGATCCCCCGCCGCCATTTTGACTGCGGAATAATGAGTGCTGTTCGATACGAGACTGATGAGTCATTTTGTGTCGTGTAAGATAAGAGGATATGCAGCTATTCTTGGAATAGCCTCGTCGTACTTCATGATAATATCAATGACCCTCAAAGATAACTGCTTATGCCCATGTTACGTTGTAGTTTACTTACAATTGGGAATGATAACTATAGTTACGTGATATTAGGGTTAATTTTATTTTGTAATAAATCCGAGTGATTACCCTGGTAGCATATTAGACTGACCTATAATATATATACATATATATCATTTTAATATAGAGCCACGACACGAATCCATTGCAAGTATAGCGAGACGCGAACCTGGCGCCCCCTAGTGATCACGTCGCACTTCCAAATTTTCACGCATACGATATTAAACAAGCGTGTGACGTCACATCAACACTACAACGCCGCGCGGGCGCGTACCAAAAAGTCGGGGTAGCCACGTGACCAGGCCATGAGTCCGCGCATGTCTTTGAGTGAATCGAGAGCGAGCCACCAGGGAAGAACTTCCGTTTCTTTCGCGAGATAGCGGGAGAGGCGGAGCGGGATGACGGTAGAGAGTGCGTCGCCGCGGGCTACCCAGAATGCATCGTTGAACAGCTGTGTACGACTTATCACGTCTATCACCTGCAACGACAATACATGATGAACTCCTTCTCTTCCCCACTCTCTCTCTCTCTCTCTCTCTCTCTCTCTCTCTCTCTCTCTCTCTTTCCCTCTCGCTACGTCTCACTATCTCTTTCTCTCTCTCGCTTTCTCTCTCTCATTCGCTGTCTCTATCTCGCTCTTTTTCTTTCCCTCTCTTACACACCGTATTTCAAAAAATAAAAGCAACAACTGAATACTAAACGATTATCGCTCACGTATATATAAATAAATAAAGAAACAAGTATATATTATATACATATATATACATGAAATAAGGTGCCATTTAATATTGTGCGAGCAATTTTTGTTGTTGTTGTGAAGCCTGAGAAAGACACATGTTCGCAAAAGCTCGCATAATAAAGAAATGGTATACCTTATGCCTATGTATGTGTGTGTGTGTGTGTGTGTGTGTGTGTGTGTGTGTGTGTGTGTGTGTGTGTGTGTGTGTGTGTGTGTGTGTGTGTGTGTGTAGTTATATATATATTATATATACCGTTACATTTATGGGATAGAAACGCGGGATATACGGGCATGCATTGGGCGTAGATATAACTGCTGATTAGTTTATCAACTGAATTACCTCGTGGTTGGTCAGCATCTGATGAATAATTTTCTCCCAGTTTCCTTCGTCGTAGGCCATGCGGAAAAATCCTCGCATTTTGAAGTTGCCAAGACACCAACCAAGATCCCTAAACTCCGCAATTTCGTAGCGCTCTGTGAGTGAGAGGAGATAGAGGGACCAAGTAAAGAAATTAGAAAACACTCACGCGCGCAACTTAATCAAACATTTTTCGGCATGGAAATAATGGATATTAAATTGCTATATAAATTGGTTGCGGAGTAATTGCGAATTCGCATGATAACTGGACAGGCACCAGCGCGTGCGTATATTGCATGTGAAATGATCCCCACGTGTTGCCGCTGGATTCGCGCGTGTGCGTGCGTGCTAGCGTGGGTGCGTGCGTGCGTAAGCGCGTGAGTGATAATAGGAACAAAGGTAAATCGCTGATTCTAAAGGTCGCAGTTTTTGGCTTAGACGTGTAACATTAATTTGCTTTCCAACGTACTCGCTTCGCGTGATTTGTAAAGGACTTTCATGTAATAAGTGCGATGGAATCATTAGGCGTGTATACACACACACACACACACACACACACACACACACACACACACACACACACACACACACACACACACACACTCGAGCACGCGCACGCGCCCCCTCCACATATATTGTGTGATGTACTTCAAATCTTACTTCCACGATCACCAATCTCACAGGAACCTCAAAGGCATTTAAAACACAAATTCTTTACGCAAATTCGGTTTAAGTGCTGCGTTTGTTTCACGTATAATAAAATCGCCAATAGTAAATTGTCAAAATGTAATCTAAGAGCGACATGGACGCTACATGCCCTGTCGGCTTCCAGTCTACCCCTTGCGTCATACATCTATGATAGTAATTTGTTCCAGTTAAAAAATTTCCTAGGAATAAATTCTGATTCCGGATGCTGCACGCTGTTATTCAAGCGCATGCGTGACGTCACATGCGCGGTGTTTGCATATATGGAAATGAGCGCTACGTATTGATCACAACCAGCGACTGCGACGTTACATCGATTCTATTTAGTAGCGGCGACAGTCATATAAACATAACTTTGAGTTTCTTTCGCCATAAGAAGCTCTCTCTCTATCTCTCTCTCTTTCTCTCTCCATCTCTCTCTCTCTCTCTCTCTCTCTCTCTCCTTCTCGCTCTTCCTCTCTCTCTCTCTCTCGCCTTCTCGCTCTTCCTCTCGCTCTCGCTCTCATTCTCTCATTTTCTTTTTCTCCCTCGCGCGCGCTGTCGCCTTTTGTGTTCGTGTTTGTCTGTCTATCTATCTATCTGTCTGTCTGTTTGTCTGTCTGCCTGCCTCTCTACCGCTCTCTCCTTCTCTCTTACACCCGCTAACGGTGTCTACCCCTTTTCTTTTTTATTTGTTTCTTTCCCGTGCCTCTCTTTCTTCTCGCTCTTTTTTCCCGCTCTGCGTATCTCGTTCTCCCCAATCTTCTCGCGGTGCTGGCCGCTTGTCGTGTACCTCTCTCCTCATGTAACCACAGCAAGCGCGACTCGTTGCGACCGGAGTCCATGAACGCCGTAACTGTCAGTGGAACCTCCCATCGATACTCAGCCTGATCCCCTCCTCCTCCTCTCCTTCCTGCTGCTCCTTCTTCACGAAGCAAGAGAAACCGCTCCTGCGAGGCGGTGACGGTGCCACTCGATCCGTCACAGGTCAATCTCACTAGTGGGTAGCCCATCTGCGCAGTCCACGTCTTCATGATTGACGTGAGGTCAATGGAGATGCCCGCCTCGGCTGAAGCTTCCGCTAGCGCCCGCCAGAGGTCGTTGGTCGTCGCGTGGCTGTACGAATGACGGCGAAGAAACGTCTGGAAATCCGCAAGAACGCGGAAGGAGGAGAAAATACGTACACGAAGAAAATTAAAGTCGCAGTCAGAGCAGATGTGAGTGAGGAGGAGGGCAGATTTCTTGACTCGGCTGGGTAATGGCGATGGAGGGGCGCAGTTTCTAGTCAACGAGCATAGTGTGGCGCGGATGGGAAGTGAGATGAGAGATTCACAGATTACTATCGATCAATCTACACTCGTTTTAGGGTTGTTTTCATACATCAGGCGTTCATTTTGATTATTTCTTAAATATGCGGGAAAACAGTTGCCCCTACCGTTCCGATGCTACAGCTCTAAAATGATACTACGAGTGCGAATAAGTAGAGTGGCTGAAACTATTTAGCGATGACGTTGATTACTCCAAATCGAACAAGTGAACAAGAGGTGTGCTTCGAACTTTTTCACGTTTTACTTTTCTGTAGCAAAATTTACCTTAAGTCCTTCCCTGAACACAGTTTCTCCTAATATTTCTTGCATCATTCGAATTAAGGACGCTCCCTGTAACAGGGTATGAAAACATTTATATATATATATATATATATATATATATATATATATATTCGCTTGCAATAATAATTTATAATAATTCATGTAAGTAGTTTTCCGGTTATGAACGGCATCAATTTAGAATAATTACCGTTACGATAATATTTGAATTCTGTAATAAATAATTATTATGTGTAAATCAATCATTTGTTATCTGTATTTCGTTTGAATTTGATAGAGATATGTAACTTGCTTTGCTGTATGAAATGTCATCGAATATTTCTCCGATCTGCTCCGGATCCTTAACAACGGCACTGATCGGATGCGACGCCCTCAGCGAATCGGTGATCAGAGCTGGCGCCATCTCGCGTGCAATAATCATATCATCCTGCAGATGACATGTGAGAGACGACAATGGTAAGTCTCGCTATATGCACACATAAACACGTTTGCTATTCAATAGAGATCAGTGAGCGCAAAGTATCTGTAAACTTACAACGTTGCCCAGTGGCTCCATCTCGTAGGCGGAAAGTTGCGAAACGTAAGAGGCGAAGCCTTCGTTCAACCAGAGGTCATCCCACCAGCTCGGGGTCACTAGATCTCCAAACCACTGCAACCACAAACAACGAGAGTACACCAACTATGCTTTTCTAACAGAGAAACAGGCTTATCTGTTCAGGGCTGTGTCTGAGTGTGATAACTACGTTAACCCACCGCCTTGGATATTGTTGATAGGTCGAGTGGAGCTAGACCAGTGTGAGCGTGTTTTTCAGGCGCTCACGCCACGATTCGGCTTTGGGCGTGTCTTTGAACAACATATAGTCTTTGAGAATGTTATATGGTATCATCGATCAGCTTCAATTGCCTGTCAATTATTCCATGCGGATGAATACATTTGTATAGCCAGCGTAGCTTTCATAAATGACGGTTATTCGTATTCAATTTGGCAGGCGTTGGATGGACTCGTAGGGTTGGTAGTAACACCACGACTATTTTATATATCTTAGAAATAAAAATTATACTGTATTATAATTTTCTGACAAGACTTCCTACGATAAACGTCTGTACGAATTTCAGTACTAGTCATCGACTTGACACCATCCTCAGAGCTCGCGTAGATACGCTTACTTTTTCGAGTACTAGATGGCGCTACCGTAGCGGCTCAAACGTTCACGCGAAAGATTCATCCACACTGAATCGGTTCGACGAGCCGCAGCGCCGCATCTCTAAATCTTCTCCCTACCATCTGCCGCTCTGCGGCTAACCATCTTGACATGTTCGTCTTTTTGTTTCATACGTTCGGAGCGCTGAGCCACTGCGCATGTGATGAAGGAGCAGCGCTAGCAATAAAGCGCCTAGACTCGATAGCTGTCACCATACATCAGCTGGAGTAGATGAACAAGCCAAGCAGGCATTGGGTGGAAAAAGGGAGAGAGGAAACGTGTGAGGCGTGAGAAAGCAAGAGAAAAAAAGAGAGAAAGACACGGAGACAAACAGAGGGAGAGGGGGAGAGAGAGAGGGGGAGAAGATGGAGAGGAATGAAGAGGCAGAGAGAGAGCGAGAGAGAGAGAGAGAGAGAGAGAGAGAGAGAGAGAGAGAGAGAGAGAGAGAGAGAGAGAGAGAGAGTAGCGTCCCGGTCGACCGTTTCACCGCACGCTAATTAAACGTGAAACGGTATACCACCCGCTGCAGTCTGAGCTTTACTGCCGCCCTGGCGGCTGAGCCGCGCGCGCTCCTGTCATTCCTCGCACGTGAGGCAGCGAGTGTTCGTTCACGTATCAGGTCTACTGTCTCTAATCCACGCGTGCCGACCATCTACCATCACCACCTCGAATCTCTCTCTGCTCTCAATGTCTCGTCTGCTACTGTGTTGGTGTCTCTCTCTCTCTCCTCACGCTCCCTCGCGCTAATCGGACGGGCATTAGCGTCATTTCTATTCATTAATCACCCAACGCTCGCCTCTCGCCGCGCCGCGCGGCTGCAAACATGTTCGGCGGCTGCTTGTGCGGCGTCGGCCCGGCACCAATCTGGAACGTCTTCTGGGCCGATCGTTTCTAGTTCCCCTCCAGCGCATTGCGCGGCGGTTTGCTGGCGTCGCGTTATTTTGGGTGTTTTCTGTCATTGTCAAGCGACGGGTTTTTAAGTCTTGTTATCCCGGGTATTACTACGACATGGGACTTTCGTCTAGATACTATAATGAGTACACACTGTACGATGCCGCATGAGATATGTGCGAAATTGCGACGAACGAATATATCATTAGCACTATGATTACAATATATGTACACTCAGCAGACAGATCACACGGCACAAACTATCCTGCTCCTTATCTCCTCTCGCGTCTCTCCGTCTCTCTCATCTTCTCCTCGTTCTCTCGCTTCTCTCTCACTCGTCATTCTTCCTCCGGCGCGCACCGCACCCCCCGACAACACACACTATATCACTTCGCACATCCGGACATGCTCTTGCTCGCTCGCGGCGCGCATACAGATCGGACATCCCTTTTTATGCTCTGCTCTCTTCCGTTCGTCTGATGTTTCTTTGTCTTTTTTTTTCACACCTTGAAGTTTTTGTTCTCTTCTCTTCTACTATCCGCTCGCGTGTGCTCTCCTCCATCATTTCTAGATCCCTTAACCGTTACCCACACACACACACACACACACACACACCCCACACTACACACAGCACATATACACAACAGACCGACGGCACAAGCACGCATCCGCACGCACTTTGTTAGTATATTTTGTTATCTTTCCTGAACTAACGGTTCGGACGCAACGCGACATACGACGGGCAAGTGTATTATTATCGGGGCGCGAGGTGGAAGTAACAGCTGGATCTCTTGGCATTATTACTTCTATTTGTACAGTCTCTCACTACGAACACACAAAAAACCCACCACGTTTAAATAACCACACACGCACTCAGCTCCTTCTCTCATGCCACTCCCCCCACACGAAAGTACACGCACACATTGCCACAAAACTACAACATACACACACGTACATCACATCCTCGTTCACTCACTCCAATCTTCTCCTCTCGTCTCTCTCTCGCCTCGTCTCTCCTCACCCCGTCGCTCGGTGGTATGCCCCGAGAAGCGCTCTCGCTCGCTCTCAATCCTCTCACATCAGTCACACACACACACACATCCATCTCTCATCGCTTCCCTCTCTCGTCCACACACACACACACCACAGTCCACAGCCCACACACATCCTCCATCACACCACCGCAGCACACAAAACACCTCATCTTTCTCTTCTCCAACACACACCATCACACACACCACTAGCACTCTCCTCACCCTTCTCTCGGGCGACGTCGCCGCGCGCCGTCTCTCTTGATCTCTCTGCTTCCTCTCTTCTTTCTCTCCCGCTCGTTCCGGCTCCGTCACCCGTGCACGTGACACACGCACGTCACACAACGCACTTGGGCCCACACACCACACGTACCCCCACCACAG